TTATGGCTGCAGTACCACGAGGTTCATCCATTCTCATCTGGTGAGGTCGACCAACGAATCACTTCTTTATGCACTTTCATACGAAATGAAGGTCCCTCTAGCAAGATACCATTTAAAGAATGAGACCTTTTCTCATATCTTTGTTTTGCAGTCATGCCTTCTTCAAAAAGTAATAAAGTGGGGGATAAATACATTTTTCAAAGAAATTCTCACACTTTCTTATGTTATGACATCTTTTAGAGAGAAATATGATGTATTATCGAGATTCGGCTGCTACAAGATTGTTTGCTCATGGTTCTAACTTCATTAACACTCGTCCAACAAGTTAGATTAAGCTCATCAACCAAACCAGACGTTCCAGATTACGCAGCCCTAGTCGTTTCTTTCCTCAGTTGTTTAAACGTTAATGCTTCTAGATTGAGAGGTTAGGACAAGTGACTTCGTAACTTGACTTACATACTTACATACTTATATCTCATTATCTCAACCATACTCGCCTACGGACTTAAACAATCTCGGCTTGGGCTTTCTCTTTGGTCATTAAGCCTTGATGATCGGCGCCTGACATTAGCCTTTTGATCAGTCTGAATTATGACCGGTATTGCGTATAGACGCTAACACACACTCCAGAAAAGTAGCAGCACCAGCATGAATGATAATAAGCCAAACCACTACATCTATCTAGTTTTTTAAAATTTTATTCTGCTTAATTGAGTCTATATAAGAGGTAAGATAGAGCTGAATAGTCTTCTTGGTCTAGTGTTAACGTAATACTTTTAGAGGAATGAGACCCAGTTCTGATGATTTCCATCTCGTGGACTGCGTCAAGTTGAAAGTCGTCTAAAAGCCAAACAGCTGCAGTACAATGGGATTTATCCGTCCCCTTCCTGGTGAGATCGACCTACGGATCTCTTCATACACTTTCATATAAATGAAAGTTTTCTCAACAATGTTATCTTAGGAGATTCTTGGAAACCTTGTTTATCTTCGTTTATACAAGGCTCATTTGATACCTGGATAATCACTTTTCCATCAAGCAAATTGCTATTTTAGCGTTGGAGCCATGGAAAAGTCCAGGAATTACCAGTTACTCCAGCATGCTGCCTTAGCTGCTTTAAATGTCGGCTTCTGATTAGCACAAGAGGTCTAATGGATTAAAGTTTTGTCTCAGTACGGAGAAAGGATTTTCTTGGTTGATGTGACCAATAAATCCAAATGGGCAATCTTCACAATTTATTTCTATAAAATGAGTGTTGGGAGGTAGCTGCGAGTGTGATGTAATTAAACTACTAGTTTTAATGAAGAAAAGAAGAGATAGGTCAATACAATCATCTCGTAAAATATTTCTGGCATGAATTTCCTTGATAAGGTTTCCATCCCAGTTGTTCATAGTGTGCTAGTTGGCAATATGGACATCAAAGGTTTTATTTAATATAGATTTAATTTCTCTTAGTTTCTTGTTGCAAGTGATGTTCAGTCACTGCTTTCATTTAGTCTAGAACTTCTCTTGAGTATCATTTATTGCCGTCCGTATACTGACAACCTTTTGCTATTCTGCTTTTTTCAGGCTACTGTTCTCGAAGAGATGCCACCTTTCCCAGAAAGAGAGTCTGGTATACTTGCCAAGCTCAAATCAAAAAAACCGCAACCGGAGCTCGCCCCTGGTTCAATTATTGCCAGAACCCATCGGCGTTCAATTGCAGGTGCCAATTCCCCTGCAAATCAGGCAAGTTGTGAATAAAATGTAGTATCACTTTTCACTACTCTCCAGTTATTCTATTTACAATTTTATCTATAAATCACCGATGATTTGTAAATGCGATAGCCACATCGCTTTCACTTTTGTAACACCGACTGCAGACTTTTTGTTCTTTCATTTTTCTTTGATCTACACTATCCCCAAGGTAAACCGAAGATATGTGGGACAGTTTTTATTTATTCATTATAGTAAACGTTAACGTTTTTATATCGTTTCTTTGATAATTCAATAACAATACATTTCAATTCTTTTTGCCCCTTTTCAAGTGCTTATTTATCGAGTTTATTAATACGATTGATACTCCTAGTTATGAATCATTTTTATTCTTCTTGCAAGTCTAGCCTTTTTTAAACGAAATTCTTTAGGCATTGTTTTTGTATTGGAAACCTCCACATCTGTCTTGTTAAATGTCAAATAGGTAATTAAATCCTGAGAGCTAATGGCGATCTTTATCGGTATTTTTATCCCTTAAGACGACTTAATTCTTGTTAATCTTCAAACCCAACTTTTATTCGCAATTACTTAATTCTTACTGGTTTGTCATCCGGATAGTTTTTATTTACATTTTGTTTCATTATATTTGACTTTACCTCAGTCGTAGGGCGAGCTATTATAATTTTTTCAAGCCTAGTCAATAAAACTTTAGGAGTTGAGAATAAATCTTTTTTATCCTTCTTAAAGGCAATACTTGATATCGACCCCTGACCGATTTACTTTTTATTAATCGAGGGTATAAAGACCAAGATGGTGTGGCCTTTTGTGTGGTCGCAGTCTCCTTTCGTTGAATAGAAGTTGTT